ATATGGTAAATGACAAAAAAATCAAAAGGCACCGTAACTAATTTTGTAATATCATAAAAATTTAAGTCATATATCTACAAGTATTTACAATGCATATTATAAAGGAAAATCGTAGATCTTTCAATATTAGATATATTCGAAAAAATTGTCACTAATATCAATTTATGGTTAGGGAATAACTGGTATGTATATAAATTGTAACCAATTTATGGTTGTAACAAATTATTTAAATATATCTACAAAAAATAAAAGCAATAAAATGTGCAGCTATTCCCTACCATAACAGGTATGTATATAAATTATATGGAATAACTGGTTGCAATGGATATGGAATATTGCGGCTGTTATAAGATATTGATGATAATTCGAAAAATTGGTATGTATTTCTCTTGAAAATTAAAAAGATCTTGGAACAAATATTGGTTAATAAATTTAAAATTTATAATTTAATTCTATGGAATTAATTAATAAATTTAAACGATAAGGTAATCGACAACAATATATATATATATATATATATATATATATATATGTAAGGGAATTTAGTCCAAATATGGGCTCCAAACTTAAAAGTCAAATAAGTAATTATTCATAATTTACGGGTCAATAACTTGAACATAAATGGAATAGTCGATTATTCATAGTTTATTAAATTACTCAACTACTTAATTTTTTTTTTTTAATTTGGAAAACTTATACAAAAATAAAATCATGTTAATGAAACAATATAAGTTTTATAATTATACTTATTATTGACATAGATTTTTAAATATATAATAAAATTTTGCTACAATAATTATTTTATGAAATCATATTGTCATCAAATCAAATTTATAAATAAAAATTTTAATGACACTTATTTTGAAATGAATATAATTAATTTATTATCAGTTACGTGCACCGTACGAGTTGTGTACTAATTTTAAATAGACATGTTTTATGTAATTTTGCACGATTTAAATTTTGACAACATTTTCAACAAATTAAATAGATAATTGTGTTAAATATTGATTCTATATTTTTAATTTATAAATATTGTCTAATAAATATTTTTAATTTATAAATATTAATGAGTATCTCTTCCCCGTGCATCGCACATGATTCATACTAGTTTATATTAGGGAAATTTTCATGTATACTTACAGATTTTTAGATAATTGCAATATTACCATCCATACCAATTAAATTGTGTATATACCTAAAAGATAAATATTAATTATAATCATGCCTTAAATCAATTACAAGGTAAGTGGAACAACCTTCCATGTTCCTAGCGCGTAATTTCAGGAAATCGGGCAAATAGTACGAAATTTCACGAAATCTTCGTCGCCTATATATATTGCTTTAACATATACTGCAAATATACTGTACATATACCCGTCGAACGTCTTTCCTGTTAATGTCATGAGAAAATATACCGAGAATATACTAATAATATACCGTCGAACGTCTTCCTGTTAATGCCATGAGAAAATATACCGAAAAGATATTGATAATATACCGAAAAATTTTTAACTATTACATACTATCGAACGTCTTCCTATTAATGTCATGAGAAAAAAAAAATGGAAAACAGTGAAACATGACTAACAATATACTGGAAATAAATCATACAATTTTCATTGAACAATAAAAACAAGAAAAAACTACAAAGTATAGACTCAAAAAAATCACCTGAACACAAACAAAATGATACAAATAAGCAATTCTCATTCCTCCTAAAAGACTAATAATATACTGAAGAAAATCAATCCGACCGAAACAAACATTCGTCAACAAAAAAATTTGCTAGTATACTAAACATAAGCTTATTTTTTGGTAGGGACGCGGGTCATATACTGTACATATACTGCATATATACTCAGAAAAAATAAATTAAAAATATATATTAGAAATGGCAGCAGCAGAAAAGGAAGAAGGCGCAGAGCGTGGAGACCAACACGTCGGCCTCGAAAAGCCAAGACGATCTTGAAGAGTACCCATCGACGAATCACAAGTGCAAATTTGAGCGAGATGCATCTCTCGTCGCGGATGGTGCAGTGCGACCAAGGCACGTCTGAAATCCGTCGTGATGAAACTTCCGAAATGGCAAAGGGACGGCACAGTTGAGAGACTGAGAGATGGTGGCGGCGGAGACTGAGTGCACGACAGAGACGCACGACGAGGGCGGATGGCAGCGAACGGGCGGAGGACCGAGGCGATTTTTTTGTGGAGTTTGGGCGATTAGGGTTTGAGCCTTTGAGGAGTTGAAGGGACTGCGGAGGCGCATGATCAGAAATGAGGAGTGGGTTATGAACGGAAATGTGGCCGAAAATTGGTTCTTAACAGACCTGAAACGGAGACGGAGCGACGAAGGAGCGGTGGAAGAAGGAAAACAGCGGCAAGAAGAAGATGAGAGAGAGAGGGAGAGAGAAGAAGAATAGAGAGGGGAGATATCGTGGTAATTATAGCTTTAATTAAATCTGCTTTTACCATAATTAAAAACATTATCTATTGCTCAATAATTTGGTATGTTTGCAAATAAATATGATAATTTTAGTTAATTTACAAATAAATATGTATGAGTTGTAAATATATAATAAAGATGTTAATCGTGTAGTGTGGGAGGTAATTTCCTCTTTATATTAAACTGAAGAAAATCAAATTAATCAATGGGAACGTGATATGTGAACTGTTAAAGTAAGATGCATAGTAGTGGGCCTAATGGCCCACATTTGAATCAACCCACGTAGGTGTGCTTCATTTCTAGTACACCTACCCACTAATTCACACGAAGGAGTAATATTAGAAAAGGGAAATAGGTATGATTAAAGGAAAAAATAAGAAAATAAATGAAAAATAAAGTAGGAAAATTATTGGTTAGACAAAATTGCTTCTAGAACTAGTAGATAATACTTATAAGTTATAATTATGCAGTTGTAGGTTAATCTGACAACCCCAATCTTATTCACATCGATAGACTGAATTTTCCCCATCGTTTGAGTTGTTTTGGCTTGGGTACAAGAATATTTTGCTCACTTATATAAATTTTAATTTGTTAATCTGTTAAATGCTACTTATGTGTATATATGTGATGTGGATTATACAAATGATCATGTCCATTCGGTTGGTTCGACCTAAAGAACGCAATTACCTTGAATTCGACTCGATTACCTTAAATTAGTATTAGACTGTTTAATTTATTTTCGTCTTAGAATCAACCAATACCATACTTAATTATGTCAATAGTAATTAAAATATCACATAGTCTTAATATATCAGTCCCTACATTTGTTAGTTCAATCTATTTTGTAACTTATGTGAATTGTAATGCCTGCCAGGGGCGAATCTAGCAATCTATATGAGTAGGGGCCTAAAATCTTTAAAGTAGCGTAACATTATTTTTTATAAGTAAAAATCAAAGACAAAATGAAATAAAAATAATATTTTAAGTAAAAAATAAAAAGCAAATACATAAAATTTTCAAGACAATAATAATTTCACATTTTCTTGATATGGCCATTTTAAAGGTTTTATTCATCCGCTCTATGAAAATTTAAAAAAAATAGTTATACATTCAAATTAAACATCTCTTACTATTTTAGCACCTATACATTAATAAATATCTATTACAAATTTCCCTTAGATTTAAAAACAACAATAAATAAAATATTCAAACCATATTTGTTGACCTAGTAGAAAGAAAAACAATCAAAGGGACTAATTATCAGATATTAATTACAAACAAATTAATTGAATAGCATATAATATCGGGAAAATTAAAATTAGCAGTTAAAATTACCAATCAATAAATGAAGTGAAGTATAAAATAAGAGTTATATTCCATTAATTTCCAAGAATTATTGAAAAAAGAAATATATTTTCAACTTATTTTTATTATATATATATATTTTTTTCTCTCTTCTTCTTAAATCTACTTTTCTTACCATGTTTTTGAAATAAGCTTATTTTACTTAAGTTACTAGGACCCTTGAGATGTTATGTTCACTTTGTATTTTTTAGTGTGGGCCTAGGCCCAATCTGGTTCTCAAGTAGCTGCGCCCCTGATGCCTGCAATAGGAAAACAACCATCAATTGGAAAAAGTTCATTTTACATGTGTTGCTTTAATTTAATTTATTTGGTTTTCCCCTATTTTTGCTCTCAACGGTACATTATTGCACCTTAAGAAACGAAAAGAAAAGAATATACTATGGCCTACTAATACAAGAGCTTAATCTAACAAGTAACGATGTCTGCTGTAAACTAGTATAAAGATTTATTGAATTTATTTGGCGCAACTATTATTTGGAAGTCATTGTCCTTCAATTTGTATTAAAAAGTTGAGGACAAAAAAGGGTCTGCCTGAAAAATATTTTGAAAAATGGGCTGTCCCAAATAATATAACCATAAATTTTTCAAAACAAGAATTCAATATTGTTTTGTTAGGAAAATTGAGAAATGAAGTACATGTCCAAGTCCAAAATGACCTCCCAAGATTCTTCAGACAAATGAGAAATAGGATTGCGAACCTGCACAATCGTTGTCGAGCTTGAGCACCTGATACTTAAATTTGGATTAGAGCATTTATCAAACTAAACTTAGCGTGACTAATTAATTAGTCTAGTTCAGCTCAACTCGTTGAGAATTGATAAATAGATATATATTCGTAATTTTATAAACAATTAGCACAAAAGAGTCGAGTTCAATTTCATTTATTGACTAATTAAGTGTGAGTTTGATAAGTCGAGTCGAGTCGAGCTGAACTTGAACTTCTAACATTTAAATTTGAGCTCGAACTATTATTGAATCAATTTCGGACTGATCGAGTTGATTGCGACTCGCTTTATTTAACAGTTTTACGAAAGGGCTAAAATGAGGGGCAAATGTGTCCTAACACAAATGCGTAATCCAACCAAGCCCGCTAAATTAGGTCCGAGTGTGAAGCTGTCGTGGGGCCCACATAAAAGCACCGATAACAAAATGAACGGCTGCGATCTTCGGAAGTGTGAATTTGAGGCTAATTTAAGCCGAATTTCATCTGAGGCTGAGCTTCATTCTCATTTTTGCTCTTTTATACGCGAGGGGCGGAAAACAACTGAGGTCTCTTGCTTTCAGGGATAGAGAGAGAGAGAATCTGTTGACAAGGGCAGGAGGGGAAGAGACTCTTTTCTTACCGAAGCCTAAAAAGGTTCGATCTTTAGCCTTATAGCGATTCAATTAATTTTCACTATTTTGTGAAGTGAAGTTTGGATCTGATGATGATGACTGTGTATTGACCTGTTTATGACTCCGTTAATCTGTGTCGGAAATGTTGATTTCCTTTTTGAGATCTGTGTGTTGTGTCCTTTTATGAATATGGTTGGATCTGGGCATGATGTTTATTTATTGTGTTTAGATGTGGATTTTGTTTCTTGCTTGCTTGCTGATTGTTAATAAATAAAAACTCAGTTGTGTTTTTATGTTCTTTTGTGCTGAAATTATATGGGATCTGAGGTGAAAATTTGATCTTTCGGAAGATTTGTGAGAATCTTAATGGCTGAAGAGGTGAAGCGTTGATATATTGATTTGCCTGTTAGTGGTATGAAAATTATTTTTTGATTTGTGACCTCTAATTGGAAGGTCGTAATATTGAGTTGTACGACCATCAGATTGATTTTCTAATTGTTGGTTTTAACTCTTACTGAATTGTTTGTAAACTTAACTTAACCACCTAAGAATACTGAATGGATTTAACAGTGTATTTGTTGGGGCTTCTTTTTGGTTCGACTGTACTTTTGGTCGAAAGTATTTTTCATTGATAAATCCTGTATTTTGTAGAAAATACATTACATGGGCTGGTACCCGCATTAGTCCTGTATGGGGCATTGCTTGAAATGTTATCAATCTCAATAGTAAATTATTTGATTTTGGCAGTTTGATTTAGTTTATATGTCAGTGTCATCTGCTGTTGTCATAAAATAGTAATAAAAAAAATGATTGATCTTAATAACACCGCATCATTGCAAAATTGCATTTCAAGTTTTATTGGATAACCTTTATCCTCGAATGGTAAAAATAAAAGTCAAACTTCCTCCAGATCATATTAAGAGATGGCAGAAGCAGAGGATATTCAGCCCCTTGTTTGTGACAATGGAACTGGAATGGTCAAGGTAATTATTATCATAATTCATTATAGAAACTCGTTGACGATATACGTTTATGGCTTTGAATGCTTAAATTTGTAATGATCTAAACCTTTTCTTCAGGCTGGATTTGCTGGAGATGATGCTCCAAGGGCTGTGTTCCCCAGTATTGTGGGCCGTCCTCGTCACACTGGTGTGATGGTTGGTATGGGCCAAAAAGATGCTTATGTTGGTGACGAAGCCCAATCCAAGAGAGGTATTTTGACACTCAAGTACCCGATTGAGCACGGTATTGTCAGCAACTGGGATGACATGGAGAAGATTTGGCATCACACGTTCTACAATGAACTCCGCGTGGCTCCAGAAGAGCACCCGATTCTGTTGACTGAAGCTCCTCTTAATCCCAAGGCCAATCGTGAAAAGATGACTCAAATCATGTTTGAGACCTTCAATGCCCCTGCCATGTATGTCGCTATTCAGGCCGTTCTCTCCCTCTATGCCAGTGGTCGAACAACTGGTAAGAAAATAATGCCAAACCACTAATGCACAACATATCGAACATCTAAAAAATTCATTCTCTTGTGCTTGACAGGTATTGTTCTGGATTCTGGTGATGGTGTGAGCCACACTGTCCCCATCTACGAAGGATACGCTCTCCCACACGCAATCCTTCGTCTCGACCTTGCTGGCCGTGACCTCACAGACCATCTCATGAAGATACTCACTGAGAGAGGCTACTCCTTCACCACGACTGCCGAGCGTGAAATCGTGAGGGACATCAAGGAGAAGCTGGCTTACATAGCCCTGGACTACGAGCAGGAGCTGGAGACTGCCAAGACTAGCTCCGCAGTCGAGAAGAACTACGAGCTGCCAGACGGGCAGGTGATCACCATTGGGGCAGAGAGGTTCCGCTGCCCGGAGGTCCTCTTCCAGCCGTCCATGATCGGGATGGAAGCTGCCGGAATTCACGAGACTACTTACAACTCGATCATGAAGTGCGATGTGGATATTAGGAAGGATCTGTATGGGAATATTGTGCTGAGTGGCGGGTCGACTATGTTCCCGGGCATTGCAGACAGGATGAGCAAGGAGATCACGGCTTTGGCACCCAGCAGCATGAAGATTAAGGTGGTGGCCCCACCTGAGAGGAAGTACAGTGTCTGGATTGGAGGTTCTATTCTCGCCTCCCTCAGCACATTCCAGCAGGTAAGTGTGATTATTATTATTATTATTATTATTAATTTTTTTTTTCTGTCTCTGCATGAATTCTCGAGTGTTTATTGTCACTTCACTGTGTCGAGGCTATATTTCTTATAAAATGAGGACTTGAGATTGTTAGTGGTAACCGGATTTTTCGTAAACTAGACAAAACCTAAGTGTAATTTTCGTGATAATCGATTTGTTTATGGGATTTGTTGGCTAGTACAAACAATTTTCGAGCCTACAGAATTGTTTGTTGATCGATCGTGCTCTTGTTTATTCGACTGCAGATGTGGATAGCCAAGGCTGAGTATGATGAGTCTGGGCCGTCAATCGTCCACAGAAAGTGCTTCTAGAAATGTATGTGATGGAAGTTGAAGATGCTGCGGGTCGATTGCTTTTTTCCTTGTGGATTTCGTCTTGTTCTTGCCTATGGGTCCTTTTCTTCTTTCTCTTCAGGTTGAGAAAAACATTGGATATGGAGAAAGTACTCAATTTATTATCCCACCTTTAAGTTTGTAGAAGAGTTGTGTAATTTGAAAGGGCACTAAATGTTTTTTTTATTCAAGTTTTTGGATGATTGGACACCTGAGATTTCTATGGTGTGTTTAATTATCTGTTTATTGGCTTTCTATTTGCTACATTGCCTTTGGTTTTTATGAAGTATGAAATTCGTATTTACATATATCATGTAAAAACTCTTAATTATTAAGCCGAGCGAGTCGAGCAATAACTAAACAAGAACCCAAACCCACAGCTACACAAAAAAACTACAAGTGCAATTACACACAGCAACACCTAATTACATCACCCACAGCCGCTAACCACACATCAACATGACCATCCAAAATCACATCAAAAGCACTCCCACAAAACCTGTACATACCACCAACAGCAAACATAAAAAGCAAAACAGAAAAGGAAAAAGACTATAATAAAAGCTTTACAGCATCCACGACCTTTTTGAAGATCCAGAGATTCCTCGATCTCCATAGCCACCACAGCAGGTAAGTGGACAATTGGATTCTAGCCTCGGAGATCTCTGTTTTATTGATCCTACACACTTGCCACCACCATTGCTTGAAAGACAGAGTATTCAACATGCGAATGCTTCCAAACCATCTTGGCTCTTTTGCATCTGAAAATATAAGTGTTCCATTGTCTCCTCTTCCTCTCCGCACATTTGGCATATAACATCCACCTGCACTCTTTTTTTCACCAAATTGCAACTGACCGGCAGAATTCCTGAGAAGCTTCGCCAAATAAAATGTTTCAACTTCTCCTTAACTCGCAATTTCCAGCTCCTATCTCGCGCCTTCTTATCCAGAGCGGCTACATCTATTTTAATCATTTTTTCCTTCATGAGATGAGCATATGAACTGATCACAGTGAACTTTCCTTCAGCATCTAAGCTCCATCTCCACCTATCAGTATAACACTTAGGTTGAGCCATCTTGTCCCAGCACCTCCAATGGATTCCTCTGTTGTTGCCGCAATCCTTACTCCACCAAAATTGAGCTGACAGCCGGCATATCTCTTGGCAAACTCCTTTGGGTATCTTGAGACAGGCCATAGTGAACACCAGTAAGGCATTTATGACTGTCTTCAGCAGGACTTCCTTCCCCGCCTAGGATAGTGATTTATTCCTCCAACTGCACAGTTTGCCTTTTACTGCCTCGATCAAGACTTCATTTTTCGACTTACCAGTGCCTAACGGTAAGCCTAGGTATCTCGTGGAAGAATGGATTTTGATCCCTCGCAACACCTCCCAGATGTGTTAGTACCTGGGTATCAAATACACGGGAATCCTACGAACTGATATGTATTTTTCAGTTCTTACAAATAATCTAAAAAAAAATAGAAAATTACAATCGAACTGAAAAATAAATTACACTGAAAAATAAAATAAAATTTAAAAATAAAACAAAACGGAAAGATTTTAGCCGAGGCGAGTAAAACTCTTTCCGCAAGAAGAATACGCCCCGTGTGGCAGCTAACGGTTTAGGCGTAACTTTCCCAAAGATACAACGGCAAACGTCTCTAAATCTGTAGCACACCAGATTTAAGAGCTCCGGCGAACTGGAACGGAGTTGATAATTGAGCACTTAAAATAGGAATAAAAATATTACTCTTTTGTTATTTCGATAACAAATAAATATTTCTATATTTTTCCCTCTGATATTTTTATCCCTCCAAAATTATTTTTATACCTCTAATTTTCTTTTTCCTCTTTCTTTCTTTCCTTTTCTCTTTCTTTTCTTCTGTGTATTTCTCCTTCTGCTGAGCCCCGCTATTTATAGTGGATTTTGAGCAATTGTGCATATGTCTTCACGCGTCTTTAGCAATAATTTAGCCCAACTTGGTTTAATAATTCACAAGAGAAATTGATTCTTCAGATTCTTCATGTGGTTCCAGCTGCAAATTGCATTTTTTATTTCTCCACCTGGCTGCATTGGTTGTACAAACCAACCACCTAATTAAATTATTGGTTGGCCACCATCTCTGATTAAATACACTCACAATTATTATAATCCCCCACATGAGTGTATTTTAAATAAACATACTATTGTGCTCAATTCTCACAAAACTCTATTGCATCAGAAAAGGTAGTTTTTGGCTTTGAACCTTTTGTAGTAAACATCATCGGATGCACTGGCGGCCTAGTGGACATAATTGTTCGCCTATATTTTTAAAGCTCAACCGCAAGTGTACGGCTTCGCTCGTAGTATGTGGCAAGCAAGGTCGTATCCCAAGAGACCAAATAATTAATATATCAAGTACCAGATTATGATAGTGTCAACTTTATTTAGACGATCGAATATGAGATGGATTAACTAAACTAAGAAAATATAATTAAAGAGAAATAAAGCAAAAATAAAGAACTAGCTAGAAAACACGTAAGAAGATATATGAGAATGATAGATTCTAAGACTTTGGTTTCAATTAATAGTTGGGTTCCTTCAGAAATATCACAACCAATGTTTTCTTTATCTTCCCTATAAGATGATCACAAATTTAGCTTATCGTCCCTCTCAAGATCGATAAAACCGTAGATTAAATCACATATATTAGCGTCTCCACTCAACACATGCAATTCAACTCCAAATAGATTAAAAGATCTAATATCCTCACAACAACCTACTAATCTCTCGATTCAAGCAAGTAAATTGTGTCAAATATTAAAGACCTAATATTGAACTCATCTCTCGAATTATGAACAATATTGTCAAACATGTAAAAACATTGGCCAAGTGCTAAACATGAAACAAGAACAAAATATTTGAATAGGGTTCAAAGAAAACAATCAATTATAATAAATCATCCAAAATCCCAACATATTAATCTACTACCAAGTCTTAGAATCAAATAAATTAGCTACTCATGTTTGAATTCAAATACATAGACATATTAGAAATCAACATGATCAATAAAAGTTCAAAAGAAAAGAAGAAAGAAAAACTAGGAATCTCGTCGATCTTTCAATCTCCTTGATCCCTTCGTAGTTGGATCTCCTTTTGCCTTCCAATTGCTCCTCTTGTGTGTTTCCAAGCCTCTCTAACGTGTTCCCCTCTTTTTGGCCTCTCAAACTAGGTTAAATATGCTTCCTCTTGTGTCCAAAAACCTCTCCTAGTCAAATTAGGCAAGTATTAAAATTCTGTTCCAGCGCGCGACACGGCCTGACACGCCCGTGTCACAGCCCGTGTCACGGGTCGTGTCAGGTATCAAGCCTCGGAATGTCCCTGTTCATGTGACACGGCCACCTGACACGGGCATGGTGCCCGTGTCACCGTCCGTGTCACGTCTCAGCACACTTGTTCTTGTCCGTTTCACTTGTTTCTTCCATTTTTCTCATCCGTGCATCAATCCATCATCATCTCGGGGGTCCTAGGTATTCACAATGCGCCTCCAATAGCCACAAGCTCTATAAATATGTGAAAATATCTACAAAACAAGCACGTGTAATACCTTTCCAACAAATAGAGAAATAAAGCACAAATATGCGGTTTATACACCAATAACGCAATGACTAAGCTCTAGATACTCAATAAATATGGTGTAAAATCACACATGAACAATAATGCCTTGAACTATTCCTCCATAGTGTACACCTAGACAATGACATTCACACACTAGAATCTTAACTCCATTCCGTTCTATCGTTGTGTCCGTTTTGGCCATGGACATCACTTTGGATTCATAAGTGTTTACATTTGAAGCGGCCCACACTTCACACTTATATAGGTGATCTCCCTATCAAGAGTATCCTTTATTACTCCACCTTTACAGGGTTAGGGATTCATTAAAAGTCCACATGACTTACCCTCACCACAATCAACAGGTCATCTTGCACTTGGAGTGTTCAAGGGAATAGCTTTGGATATTCATATGTTCCAAGTGCTCAACTGAATTTTCATAGCTTAGTTGTCCCTTTGAACCAAGTTTGTGGGATCTCCACTTAGCATGGTAGGGTTACCACTATGATCATTCTTTAAATTGTGGATTTTTAAGCCCATTCCCTCTAGCAAAACTACCAATTGATATCTATTCAATCCTTTCGTCAAAGGATCAGCCAAATTTTCTTTAGGCTTCACATAGTCAATGAAAATAACACCATTTGTGATCAATTGGCGTACGGTATTATGTCTACGACGAATATGTCTAGACTTACCGTTATACAAGTTGCTTTGCGCCCTACCTATAGCAGTTTGGCTATCACAGTGAATCATTACAGGCGGCAAAGTCTTATCCCAACATGGAATATCGGATAAAAAATTTCTAAGCCACTCGGCTTCTTCACCAGCTTTATCTAAAGCGATGAACTCCGATTCCATCGTTGACCGAGCTATACACGTTTGTTTTGTGGATTTTCACGAAACTGCACCTCCCCCAATACAGAAAACATATCCGCTAGTGGAGCGAGAATCTCTCGAATCTGATATCCAGCTTGCATCACAGTACTCTTCTAGTACGGCTGGATATCTCGAGTATTTTAGCCCGTATTCAAGGGTGTACCTCAAGTACTTAAGTACCCTTCTCAAAGCATTCAAGTGCTCATGACTGGGATTGCTCGTAAATCTGCTCAACTTATTCACCGGATAGGCCAAGTCTGGTCGTGTACAATTCGTCAAGTACATCAGACTCCCTATTATCCGTGAATATTCCAAGTGAGCCACTGGTTGACCTTTATTGGCTACCAGATTTATATTGAGATCAATGGGTGTCTTACACCTAGACTGTGCACCGTCATAGGTATCAAATTTCTTAAGCACTTTCTCTACATAATGAGATTGTGACAAGACAATTCCATCTTGGGTTTTGATAATCCTTATTCCAAGAATAACATCAACCAAACCCATATCTTTCATGTCGAAATTTCTTTTCAACATTCTTTTCGTATCCATGATCACTTCATGGCTACTCCCCATGATCAACATATCATCTACATATAGACATACAATCACAAATGCATTTGATGTACTCTTGACATAAACACATTTGTCACATTCGTTGATTTTGAAACCATTTGACAACATTATGTCATCAAATTTCAAATTCCATTGTTTCGGAACTTGTTTCAGTCCGTACAAGGATTTGATCAATCTACACACCTTTCTCTCTTGTCCAGGTGCAACAAACCCTTCAGGTTGTTCCATGTATATTTCTTCTTCCAATTCACCATTTAAAAATGCTGTCTTGACATCCATTTGGTGAATCTCAAGATTGTGCAAAGCAGCAATCGAGAGAAGCACTCTTATCGACGCTAAACGCGTAACTGGTGAATAGGTATCAAAGAAATCATACCCTTCTTTTTGTTTAAAGCCTTTGACCACCAAACGTGCTTTAAACTTATCAATCGATCCATCAGCTTTATATTTCTTCTTTAGGATCCACTTGCATCCTAAAGGTTTACAACCATCAGAGAGATCAACCAACTCCCAAGTATGGTTTTGCATAATGGACTCGATTTCGCTATTTACAGCTTCTTCCCAGAGTGGTCCATCTGGGCTGGACAGAGCTTCCTTAAGGGAGCTCGGTTCATCGTCCAACATGTACGTAATAAAATCAGGTCCAAACGTTTTCGTTGTTTTTAACCTTTTACTACGTCTCAGTTCTTCATCAGTACCCTCTGGTACAGAACCACTAGCAGTTTCATACGTTCGTTTATTAGAACTAGATTCTGCTCTATCCTTCAGAGGAAAAATATTCTCAAAGAATATAGCATTCCTCGACTCAATCGTGGTACCAACAGATACCTCTGGATTTTCTTATTTATGAACCAGAAATCTATATGATGTACTATTGTACGCATATCCAATAAATACACAATCGACCGTCTTTGGCCCGATTCTCATTTGTTTGGGTTCCGGTGCTGAAACCTTAGCCAAACACCCCCACACTTTCAGGTATTTATAAGACGGCTTACGATTTTTCCACATTTCGTAAGGAGTCTCATCTTTCCCTTTAGGTGGTATTTTATTCAGAATATGATTTGCTGTTAAAACAGCTTCCCCCCCACATGTTTTGAGGTAATCCTGAATTTATCAACATGGCATTCATCATTTCTTTTAAAGTACGGTTCTTGCGTTCAGCAACACCGTTTGACTGTGGAGAATAAGGGGCAGTCGTTTGATGAATTATTCCATATTCGGAACATATTTGTTCAAAATGAGCTACATACTCCCCACCCCTATCGCTTCGGATTATTTTAATCCTTTTGCCGAGTTGATTTTCAACTTCGGTTTTATAAATTTTAAATGCTTCCACAACCTCGTCTTTGCTTCTTAATAAATATAAGTAGCAAAACTTTGTGCAATCATCGATAAAAGTAATAAAATACTTTTTACCCGTTCTTGTTTGCACACTTTTCATATCACATACATCAGTATAGATTAAGCCTAATGGTTCAGTACACCTTTCCACCGAGTGAAAAGGAAACTTAGCCATTTTTGCTTCAATACAAATCTCACATTTCTTATGTGATTCAATTTTAGAATTAACAATTAATTCTAAATTCATCAACCGTTTAATTGCATTTCGATTTACATGTCCCAATCTAATATGCCATAAATCAGAGCACTCAACGGTATAAACAGAAATAGGCTTTTCATTATCATTTAAAATGGTTACACGGCTTACGGCCATTACATTCATTTTAAACATACCCTTGTCGAGATAGCCACGACCAAGGAAAGTTCCAAACTTGCTAAGAACAAATTTCTTAGCATCAAATACCAGCCTAAATCCATGCTCAACAAGAAGAGATCCAGAGACCAAATTCTTGCGGATGTCTGGGACATGCAGAACATCCTTAAGCATCAACTCCTTTCCAGAAGTCAGCTTCAGCACCACAATGCCCACTCCAGCCACATCAGCCGTGGCGGAGTTTGCCATGTAAAGTTTTCGACTCTTAGCAGGAGTGTATTCAGAAAATACCTCCTTATCGGAACACACATGACGAGTGGCACCAGTATCGATGTACCACTCCCTTGGGTTATCCACCATATTGGCTTCAAACACCACAGCCGACATATCAAAGTTGGTTAGTTCACCCGGCACAGGGCCGTGTTCAGCAACAAGGGCACTCGGTTTACCTTTCTTTGGCCCAACCTTCTTTGGCCTCTTGCAGTCTTTAGCCATATGGTTCGGCTTTCCACAATTATAACAAGTTCCGGTAAACTTCCAAACCTTGGCAGGCTGCTTCCCTTTGTCTAGGGACTTTCTCTTGCTCGAGTTGCCTTGCTCTATCAAGTTAGCACGAGCCTCCATCATCGGAATTTTCCCCGATGAATTACGATTGTCCTCCTCAATACGAAGACGAACAATCAAGTCTTCAAGACTCATTTCCTTCCTCTTATGTTTGAGGTAGTTCTTGAAGTCTTTTCAACCCGTCGGCAGTTTTTCAATCACAGCCGCAACTTGGAATGACTCGCTCAGAGACATTCCCTCAGCATGAATATCGTGCAAGATGAGTTGGAATTCTTGCACTTGTGACACAACGGTCTTTGTGTCAACCATTTTGAAGTCAAGAAATTTTCCGACGACGAATTTCTTCGCCCCGGCATCCTCGGTCTTGTACTTCTTTTCCAAAGCAGCTCAAAGCTCTTTGGCAGAACCAACCGAGCTGTACACATTGTACAACTCGTTACTAAGTCCGTTCAGGACATCGTTACGGCAAAGGTAATCACCTTGCCCCCAAACTTCGTACGCAGTGCGTAGTTCAGTATTGGTCTCATTTTCAGCAATAACCGGGGGGGTTGTCCTTCAGGTATTTCACCAAACCCAAAGTGGTTTGGTAAAAATGCATCTTTTGTTGCCACCTTTTAAAATCAAGCCCATTGAATTTTTCGGGCTTCTCGGCAGTAGGGACATGGACAGCAGGTACATGATTGATCGGATGCTGAGTATTGGAACCATTTCCGGTGGAAGCCATCAGTCCAGTAGGTTGAGATATTCTTCTTGCGATTGTTAGTACCTGGGTATCAAATACACGGGAATCCTACGAACTGATATGTATTTTTCAGTTCTTACAAATAATCTAAAAAAATAGAAAATTACAATCGAACTGAAAAATAAATTACACTGAAAAATAAAATAAAATTTAAAAATAAAACAAAACGGAAAGATTTTAGCCGAGGCGAGTAAAACTCTTTCCGCAAGAAGAATACGCCCCGTGTGGCAGCTAACGGTTTAGGCGTAACTTTCCCAAAGATACAACGGCAAACATCTCTAAATCTGTAGCACACCAGATTTAAGAGCTCCGGCGAACTGGAACGGAGTTGATAATTGAGCACTTAAAATAGGAATAAAAATATTACTCTTTTGTTATTTCGATAACAAATAAATATTTCTATATTTTTTCCTCTGATATTTTTATCCTTCCAAAATTATTTTTATACTTCTAATTTTCTTTTTCCTCTTTCTTTCTTTCCTTTTCTCTTTCTTTTCTTCTGTGTATTTCTCCTTCTGCTGAGCCCCGCTATTTATAGTGGATTTTGAGCAATTGTGCATATGTTTTCACGCGTCTTTAGCAATAATTTAGCCCAACTTAGTTTAATAATTCACAAGAGAAATTGATTCTTCAGATTCTTCATGTGGTTCCAGCTGCAATTTGCATTTTTTATTTCTCCACCCTGGCTGCATTGGTTGTACAAACCAACCACCTAATTAATTAATTGGTTGGCCACCATCTCTGATTAAATACACTTACAATAGAATATGTGTTAATACTATTAAATAGCCAAATAAGTTTTCAAAACACAAATTTTAACCATCATTTGTAAAAATCATCTTTTTTAGCCATTTTGGCATGTGTTTTTACTCAACTACCCCTAACCTAATTTTCATTTTATCATTTTATCATTTTCATTTCCCCCAAAAATTTTCCGCCGCTCGTCCGATTTCTCTGTCTCTCTCACGCTTTCTCCGCCGCAAGTTCTCTTTCTCTCTCACGCTCTCTCCGCCGCAACCCTTGCTCTTTGTCCGGCGACCGCTGCTCCGACGACCGCTGCCCGCTCCGTCGCACTGCTGTCTTCCGTCAATCAGATTTCTCTGCTCCGCCGCTCTGCACTGCTCCGCCGCTCTGCACTGCTCCGCCGGCTTCCTCACCATCTCATTGCTTCTCAAGGTGCGGTTGTTTAGTTGTTTAGGGTTTGATTAGGGTTTTTCATCGTCTGGTTCAATTGCTGGTCCAAGAGCGTGAATTTGTTCTTATTCTGTTGGGTTTGAATAAATTTCTGGGACAATTGTCTTGGGAGTTCAGATCCTAAAGGCTGTTTTAGTAAGTAAAGTTGATTTTTCTTGTTCAGAGAAATTATTTACTGACTGAGTTTACCACTGATGAGGGAATTCAAATTTTCTTTTAAAACATGCTTTTATAAGATTATATTCACTTTTCATGAGGCAATATTTCTAATACTCACTGGTGTGCGTATCTTGACTTTGGTATTCTTTGATAACTACTATTTTTTTTCCTTGAAAATAACCTCTATTTGATCCTTGTTTTCTATCCTAATCTTAGACATTGGGCTTCCATCTGGAAAATCACTTTTCCGAATTCAAGCTGAGCGAATTTTGTGCCTTCAACGATTGGCAGCTCAATCTGTAAATGAAGGTATGTATCATCCTCTATTTATTGCACTATCCTCTTTTTTCAACAGCCCTAATCATTGGGCTTCCATCATTTAGGAAAGTTTTGAATGGAATACAGGCCACGTTCTTCCAACAGGGCACTATACCTTGTGTGTCAAGAGATGGTAGATTTATAATGGAAACTCCATACAGGGTATGATTTGTTACCTATTTAACCATATTTTTGAAACACAAAATAATTATTAGTTTCAGATCTACTGATTTTCAATCTAAAAGTTTTTCATGATTTTGTTTTATGTTTTGTCTTTTTTCTAAAGCCAGGTGGCAAANTTTTTTTTTTTTTTTTTTTACTATACGTGGATAAAACTATTGCAGCATTGAAAACATCAAGTTTATTGGAAGATATGGCAATGAGAGGCATAAAATACTTGGACTGCTATGGAGTTGACAATGCTTTAGTGAGTTAAAATGTTTAATATTCTCTCTATATTTCGTTCTATTTCCTTTTTTGATCAGGTTATTATATACCTTGCTACAAAATTTGTTGTGAACAGGTACGAGTTGGCGATCCAACTTTTCTGGGTTATTTCATTGATAAGGGTGTGGCGGCAGCTGCTAAAGTTGTTCGAAAGGTATAACTTTTTTTCTGGAAAACATTATCCATTGTACATCATAGTTTAAGGTTTTTCTTTCTCAAATATGTTGAACTGTAGGCATACCCACAAGAGAAAGTTGGTGTTTTTGTTCAACGAGGTAAAGGTGGACCCATCTCTGTGGTTGAGTACAGTGAAATGGACTCATCACTAGCAAGTGCAATCAATCAGACAACTGGCCGACTTCGCTTTTGTTGGAGTAATGTATTGTCCACACCCCAATTTCCTCTTTTTTTTTTTTTTTTTTTTTTTTTTTTTTTTTTTTTTTTTTTTTTTTTTTTTTTTTTTTTTTTTTTTTTTTTTTTTTTTTTTTTTTTTTTTTTTTTTTTTTTTTTTTTTTTTTTTTTTTTTTTTTTTTTTTTTTTTTTTTTTTTTTTTTTTTTTTTTTTTTTTTTTTTTTTTTTTTTTTTTTTTTTTTTTTTTTTTTTTTTTTTTTTTTTTTTTTTTTTTTTTTTTTTTTTTTTTTTTTTTTTTTTTTTTTTTTTTTTTTTTTTTTTTTTTTTTTTTTTTTTTTTTTTTTTTTTGAGTTTCTTCCCCTTTATGGGTCTTTGGGAAATAAAAGTTTGAAACTTTTTGAATAAACCAATTTCAAATGTGGCCTTTATCATTTCAGGTTTGCCTGCACATGTTCACTTTAGATTTTCTGAACCAAGTAGCAAACGGCCTTGAGAAAGACAGCATGTCAGTCTCTCTCTTTTCTCTCACTCACACGAACACAAACACAAAGGAATAACATATATCTGGTGTTTGTTCCTTGAGTGCAGTTATCATCTTGCAGAAAAGAATATTCCTTCAATCCATGGACACACTGTAGGATTCAAATTAGAGCAATTCATATTCGATGCATTTCCTTATGCGCCTTCCACCGCACTCTACGAGGTACATACTGTTACTTCTTTAATCGTGCTTTCGAATTAACAGATAGAAAAAGAATCTAGAATACATAGTTTTTGAATAAAAAGACATTGAATTTGTCATCTGTATGTATAGGTTTTGCGCGAAGAAGAATTTGCACCCGTGAAAAACGCGAATGGATCAAATTTCGACACTCCAGACAGTGCTCGTCTGCTTGTCCTTCGTTTGCATGCTCGTTGGGTGGTTGCTGCCGGAGGCTTCTTGACTCATTCTGTGCCCCTATATGCTACTGGTAGTCTTTCTCGTTTTCCGAAGAAAAAGAAAATAAAAATAAAAATAGAATAGTTGTTGTATTTTGATTGGTCATTACAAATGAATGTACAACTGAAAAAATGGAATTTTGTGTTTTGAATGATTAGGTGTGGAAGTTTCGCCTCTTTGCTCGTATGCTGGAGAGAACTTGGAGGCCATCTGCCGTGGACGAACATTTCATGCTCCCTGTGAAATTGCGTTTTAGATTTTATCTTTTATCGTTCTTTTTTCTTTTTTTTTTTGGTTCATTCGAGGCTCTGTATATTGCGTTTGAGGATGAATTTGGGCTGAATTTTTATGTGATATGTGCTGATAGATACTTTGATTATAAAGATATATGCAACTCACAGAATAAGGATTTCGTTTTGAACTTTTTAACTGTAAATTGCTTGTTTATGATGGTCCGATGGACTTCACTTTGTGCCTCTTACCTAAGGTGAAACTGTAATGTCTAAGACAAATTTCATGTCAAAAAAGGTAATTAACAAATTTCATGTCAAAAAAGATAATTAACATGATTAACGTAGTGCATTGAAAAATAAAAAAAAACTAAGCAGCTGCAGTTACTTTAAATTAACATTTAGTAGAAAGTTGTAGTGTTATTGCTTTTCAGCTGGGAAGAGACTGATTTCATGAATTGCGGTGCATAAATCGGGTTATAATTACTGTGCTATCTATTTATATTAGAAGAAAGAGTTAATTTGGAAGCATGCTGAAATTTTTGTGCCACTGTTGATTTACCAAGTTAGTGGAGTGATAGCCATTAACAGTATTATATGGATGGTTTTTGGTTTGTTCGTGTGTATTTGATGAATTCTATTTGTGTTGATAATTTAAGTTGATTGTATACGCGGGGAGATGGATGATAACCTCATACGTATGTTGTATGTGTTTCGCACTTTCAGTATATGAAAAATTCACTTTAGTACCTCAATTTTAGTACCCAACTCTATATGCTTCCGTTGTTATTAATATTCCAATACATGAAAAATTCACTTGAGTACCCAACTTTCACTTGAGTACACAACAATTAGTGAATTCGTTGGAAGTATGTAAGGCAACGAATGCGTATATGAACACAACATTGTCATTTGTCTCATAGCATGTGGTGTTTCTAGGATTTCCTCTCATCAACATATGAAAATATCCAGACAAAAGTTCCTAAGATTTATTATGATCCTTGTAAACGAAGTCATACGCGACATTATGAGACTTTTGTGCTTTATTGTATTTGACTTGGTGTACTATTATCACGCTCCTGGTCACTCATTATATACCTCTAGCGGCTGAGCGACTGAGGTAGAGCATACATGTATGATTGTTGAATTTACATATTTTCCAATTGACATATTTTTGACATGACAATGTAAAAAAAGAACATGTCTTATACATGCGTCAATGTCTTACATAATAAAACAAATAAAATTTGAACCAGAACCAACTTCTTGGATTGATTTCTGGATCCATAAATGATTCAAAATTCGTTTTTGGGATTTCTGAGATTTCAGGGGACCAGAAATCGTTTCTTGGTCCAGAAACCATTTCTGGGATTTCTGGCATTTCTGGGACCAGAAACGATTTCTGCGACCAGAAATCATTTCTTGAATTTCTGGGACGGAAATCGATTTCTGGTCCCAAAAATCGTTTTTCGGATTTTTGGGATTTCTGGGGTCCATAAACGATTTCTGGGCTCCAGAAATGATCCAGAAACGATTTCTGCGACCAGTAATTAATTCTGGGATTTCTGGCATTTCTGGGACCAGAAACGATTTCTGGGGTCCAGAAACGATTTCTGGGGTCCAGAAACGATTTCTGCGACCATAAATCATTTCTTGAATTTCTGGGACCGAAAATCGATTTCCGGTCCCAGAAATCGTTTTTCGAATTTTTAGGATTTCTGGGGTCCATAAACGATTTCTGGGCTCCAGAAATGGTCCATAAACGATTTCTGGGGTCCAGAAACGAATTTTTAGGATTTCTGGGTCCATAAACGATTTCTGGGCTCCAGAAATGGTCCATAAATGATTTCTGGCATATCTGGAACCAGAAACGATTTCTGGGGTCCAGAAATCAATTTCCGGTCCCAGAAATCGTTTTTCGGATTTTTGGGATTTCTGGAGTCCAGAAATTATTTCTGGGCTCCAGAAATGATCATTTCTGAAGCCCATAAATCGTTTCTGGAGCCCAGAAACGATCATTTCTGGAGCCCAGAAACGATTTCTGGACCCCAGAAATTGACGATTTCTAATTTTTTTTTTAAGAAAAATAGATAGTAAGGGTATTTTGGTATTTTTAGGTGCCAAAATGGCTAAAAAAGATGTTTTTCCAACAACATGGCTAAAATTTATGTTTTACATTTCTACTTGGCTAAAAAAAAAATTCACTGATAGAATATTGTTGTCATCCCGTCCTCTCCAGGGGCTTTTAGAGGGCTCATTTGAAAAAGTGCTTGCTTTATCTCCGCCTCTTCTATTGGTGCTATGAGTGTCTCATTCATGTCCTCCGAAATTACCTTTTGAATTCCTTGGAGAGCAATCTCTTTGTCCCAGGATCCCTCCGAGGTGAATAACGATTTATAGAACTGAACAATGTGCTTCTCGGTAGCCGACTGTGACTCTAATGTTCTGTTACCATCAACAAGCTTGGTTATGGAATTTGTTTTTCTTCTCTGTTGAGTGTAGGCATGGAAAAACCCCGAATTTCTGTCGCCTTCGCGAACCCATTGAATTCTCGATTTCTGCTGCCAGTACTGTTCCTCCGAGGTATGAGCCTCATCAAGTTCCTTCTGGATGCTCTCCCATTCGTTCCAGTTCCTATCCCCGCCCAGCTTTCTCATCTCCTCGAGAGTCAAAATAAGTTTCTTTATCTGTTCTTTTCGTCTGGAATTGAAGGATTTACTCCATTTGGACAGCGCCACTCTAGTTCTCTTGATATTCTCCTTCAGCCGAAACATTGGTGTTCCTTCTAAGGTGTTCACCCAATTCTCTTGCACCGTCTGCTCAAAGCCTTCCGTTTTGATCCATCTTGTATCGAACGAAAATCTACGTCTCCCTTTCTTCGCCGCTATGTTCGTATCCACAAGGAGGGCTCCATGGTCAGATGCACTTCGAAACTGATTAGTGACTTGGGCTAACGGATGATGTGCAATCCAGCTCCAAGATCCGAACGCTCTGTCCAGTTTTTCTTCCACGTATCCTTCACCTTCTGTTATTACCCCAAGTGAAAGGGTAATCTTTGAAAACAAATTCAGACATGCCCATCTGCTCTATGAACCTGTTAAAGTCCAAAACACTATTATCCGACCTGATTCTGCCTCCCTTCTTGTCCTCCCCACTTCGGATATCATTCCAGTCGCCCATAATGACCCAATCTTCTCGCCACAACTCTCTATCAGCTATCAACGACATCCATTGCCTTACTCTTTCACTTCCCTCCGTGCTTATATGCGCAAAGATCCACCATTCTGATTTATTTGTTCTCTGCTCATGGACTAGCGCTTGGATACAGAACCCATTCCCTTTGATTTGCACAATCTCAACCTCGGCATTCCAGCATAATAGTAGGCCACCTCTCCAACCCACAGGTTCTACAAAATAATATCTGTCCCCATAACCAAGCGTCTTACAAACTTTAACTGTAAAGTCTTTTTGTTTTTTAACTTCTGAAAGGAAAACAAAATTTGGATGGTGAGCACGAATGGACTCTCGCAATTGGGTAACTGTAGATGTCCCACCCAGACCTCTACAATTCCACACCACGGCTCTCATTTTTCCGTCAGGAGCCACTCTTGGCTGGCTACCTCCACCAATTCATCTTCACTCTTTTGTTTCTTGCTGATCTTACTTGGTCTTTTTTTCCCCACAGTCTCCCTTTTGGTTACTTCTTCAACCTTTTCCAGTTCATTTTCCTTAACAAGGAAGAGCTGACTCGAGTAGATCTCAACAAGAACTGGAATTTCGATAGCCAATATCTCATATTATCCAAGTGGATGGAAGGAATATCAGTTTCTCATCCCCGATTTGAGGAAATTCAAATGTGGCTTCAAGTACATAATGTACCTTTGAACTGGATGAGCACGGAGGTCGGGCTTAAGCTTGGAGGATTGTTCAAAGGAATTAAGAATGTGAACCTAGCCAAGGCAGGGGGGCAGAATAATTAGAATTTTGGCGACACTAAATTTAAAGGAGCCCCTGCCGCGGTGGGCCAATATACGGCTGGGGAATCAGGTGGTGACTGTGTATTTCAAATATGAGAAACTCATGAACCTATGTTTCTATTGTGGGAGAATCGGCCATATAGATAGAAGTTGCGGTAGGAGGATGGAGGATATTGAAAGGAAAGAAGTGAGGGAAGGGCAATACGGTGAGTGGCACAGAAGGAAGTTATACGTACGGATCACCACCACATAGCTACCAGGCGAATTCAACAGACAAGACGCCAAATAACTTCCAACCAAGCAGACATGAAGGTGAGAGTGCAGAAGATGTCCGAGATCCAACTACCCAGCATGGGAATGGAGATGGAAGTCCACGAGGGTGGGATAATCAACAAGACAAAAGCCTGTGTTTAGTAGAATCCTCAACGGCCAATAATACCGAGCCCTGCGATGATAGGGGTAAAGGGGTTAATATATACAATATGAGGAATGCGATGGAGATATCAACAGCTCAAATGCTAACTACTGAAGAAGAACCGATTCAGTCCAAAGGGAAAGCTGCTCTATTACTTGAACCAGTGCCACAATCCGAGGAAAACCTGGAGAAGGACTACCACTAAGGACAGACGGGTATACAGAAAAGAACAAGGGATCATCACCTCCGAAAGTTACTAATTAAATTCATTGCACCTTTTGTTCACTATTCGTCTTCTTTTTTTTTAATCGAAAATAGGAAGGATAATAGCAAAGTAGAAGCAATTACAATCAACTAGAAATGAGCAACAACAGTGTTACTCATATATTTCACGACCAACTTTATTGATGAACATGTAGTATGGTACACAACATAGCAACAACGATGGTTCGATTATATTTTATCATTCGAATTTTGAACTCAACAATTCTGTTGGCAGGTACAAAAACCTCCATTACTATTCGATGTCTTGTTGGTACATTTTCCTCTGGCGTGTTGCGATTGACAGTTATTTGTGCAGTCCTTATCATCACAACCTCTCTGGTTTTGTATCCATAATCCATTCATGACATTCCGGCTTTGTGCCTCCACAACTTTTGAAAGATGCTTTCATTTGGCTGCTGCTATCTGATACCACCACTGCACAAAGTATAACTACACCACAACCAATTACAACCACAACAACCAAACCAATTAGTGTGTGTTTCAGAGACATAATCAAACCATACAAATGGTTCAACAGGTTTTATGTTAAAATTCTGAGTAAAATATATAAGCATGTAAACATATTAGAATTACAAGTACTCCTTTCAATTGATTGAAAAAAAAAAAACTCNATTTTAACAAAAAAAAAAAAGGTATTGAAATGGTTACTATACTGACCAGACCACCAATAATGTAAGGTATTTAAAATCTAAAACATTGAATCAAAATGATCCAAAATTGAAGTAGAAACACAAAAGTTGATAGCATAGAGGAAAGGGTGTAAATACTTGCCTGGTAGAAGAAGGAAAAGAACGCAAAAGAACTTGGCCGTATCAAAATTTGCTTTCATCTTCTTTCTCTGCATCTGTTCTCTAGGAGCTTTTGTGTGTTCATGTGTGTGCCTGCGAGCCTATTTAAAGATTTTATCAAATTGATGTGGTATTTTTTTGTCAACTAGCATGCCATGAAATAGTACTCACATGATAACGATAAATCGAGCCTATTTAAAGACTTTATCAAATTGATGTGGTATTTTTTGTCAACTAGCATGCCATGAAATAGTAGTATTCACCTGATAATGATAAATCTTGACGTACCTTACTTTTAATTCTTCGGTTTATGCCTCGCATCTAATAAATTAAATATGAACATATTCCACCAATGAAAAATTTGGACTTAAATTTTATTACCTTTATTAAGGTCGCCATTCATTTTTATTTTTATTATTATTTTTTTGTGTTAACTTAGTCCAAATCCAACTCAAATATACATATATTTAATTTCTCATGTATAATAATTGCACTTTTGGACTAAATTCTTTGGGCTTGTTTGTATACAAATAAATCAGTTTTTTACTGGGTTTTTTTTGATAATCATGATTAATTTTGAAAAAGTTGATTTAGTAAGTTTTTAGTAGAATATTAAAATAATATTTAAAATAAAATAATTAAAGTTAATTTAACGTAAAAGTATGAGATAAGTTATGCAATGTGATATTATAAAGTAGATGAATAATGAATTAACTTAGATTTGAATTTTGAGTTGAGATTAGAAAGTTATTATAAGTTATGCAATGTGATATTATAAAATAGTTTAACCGTAATTTTGGTTCGAAAGCTCTCATTGGGAGAATGGAGAGGGATGTAAAACTAAACGATGGTCAATAGGCAACAATGAAGAAGCAATAGCTTGAGTTGTAAAATATGAGAATGTAATTAGATATATTGTTGAACTCTAATAGCCATGTGGCCCTGACTTCAATGCTTCAACTGTATTAATAAGTTAACACTAATGATATGTAATAGCAGCAATTTCTCAGCTCTTGTATATAATTTGCTGTAATGCTAAATCATGTTTCTTGATAGAGAAAGATTGTGCACCATTGCCATTGTCATGCAGTTCTTTGTGACCATTAGTTTTAGTCAAACAAATATTTTTTCATGTCGCTGTTAATTTTTTTAAACATCTAATTAATTCTTTACATAAAGTATCATGTATTTAGCGAAATTATTCACAAGTGCAGTGAAAGAAACTGATGGATACATCATACAAGTAAGAAGTTGGTTTAAATTAAATGAAAAGGGAAGATTATTATTTTTTTTTTCATAGAAACTTGAGAATCTATATCTATATATATATATATATATATATATATATATAAAGAGGTTGTTGGAAAAATACATTAATAGAAAGTTTGACCAAATAAATATAATGTTTGACTTACTATTAATAAGTTCGAAAAAACACATGTAAATCTTTAGAAACAAAATCTGAATCCTATTTTTTCTGTAACAAATTTGGAGATTCTTATGGCAAAATTTGAATCCCATTTTTTTAGTATCATATTTTATTTTTTACCAAAATTTAAATCATATCTTTTTTGGTAACAAATTTAGAGATTCTTATGTAAAAAATGTGTCAATTATTTATGAAAACAATTTTAAATACAAATCAATTTAAAAACCGTGCAAATTGGATACAAATTTACGAAACAAATAGTTGTATAATTTCTAACCAATTCTTCCAATCTTAATGAATAATTGTTTCTTTCAAAAAAAGTGTGTAAATTGGTTAAAACCACATGTAATTTTTATTTTAAAATAAAACTGATATTTGGACGGGATGTACATTCAAAATTGTGCCCATATGTTTTGGTAACAAAAGCAGTTCATCTTTTAAAATAATTAATTGCACACCATATTTAGAAAGTTTTAGATATTTTAAATCATAAAATAGGGTAGCATTAAATGCCCCTAAAATTATGGGTTTTGTTGAATTCATTTTTGAAATGAATATGAAATTAAAAATCTCTTCTCATTTTAGTTACAAGAAAATCGGACTGGATTCAACACTTGGACCAATTAAAAAATTATTCCTTAAATGAAGGAATTTATAGATAATTGTTATCTCTACTCAATCACATAATTATTTTCAATATAAAAAGAAACAAATTACAAATTAGTGAATCATATATTACCTAATTCAATATCTTAACATTAAGGAATAAATCCATAGTATTATGTAAATTCGTATCTCATATTATTATATCATTAAGAATATATTATAGTTATATTATCAAACCTTTAAAAATATTAAATCCATATTGTAAAAAAAATAATTCATATAATTTTATAACAATTCTACTACACTATTTAACAATAATCATTTCTATTATATAATAAAATAATAATTAAATATTATATACTTAACAACAATAAGTAAAACTTATACTTTCTCTTATATCAAGGGATAAATTTATATGCTAAAATTAAATTTTTATTAGTATACAAATTTTAGTGAGATAATATATTAATTACAAGCTAGCCTTAACATGCTCATATTTAATGTTCTGGCTAAAAAAAACAACGCTGGTTAAAAGATGTGGAAAAAAACTTATAATAACCCTATTGTTTTTTAGACTTAACGTTGATCATGAAAAGATGTAGAAAATAAATAATAACTCTATTATTTTTTAGACTTAAATGGACAAGGGTGTGAAAATAACTCATATAATATCTTTGTCCGTGCATTGCACAGAGTATGTACTAGTTCACATAAATCTTAGTGTATAAAGGTGCAAATGGTCGGTCAGTCTTTTGATACTCGAGCTCAGACTCAAGATTTTATCAAGCCGAGTTGATAAACAAGTTCGAGTTTGACTTGTCTATAATATATATTCAAAAGAATTAAATAAAAATCTCTATTCTCGAGCTTTAACAAACCGAATTATACTTAAATCATTAGTTCCGAGCTGATAAACAAGTTCGAGTTTGACTTGTCTATAATATATATTCAAAAAAATTAAATAAAAATCTCTATTCTCGAGCTTTAACAAACCGAATTATACTTAAATCATTAGTTAAACTAGCTCGAACTTTTGATTCGTTTATTAAAACTAGTAAGGTGCACGTGCGTTGCACGTGTACCGAATTTTAATTTTAAGTTTGTAAAATGTAGTTTGAAGTCGTAAAATATAGCAAAATAATTATTTTTCCCATTAGATATTTTAATAGTTTATGAACATTATGAATTGCTGATCGTTTAGTAATTGGTGTGAAATCCCATATAATGAGTTGGGTTATGCATAGTAGTTTATCGAAACATAAGTTTATTCAGAGATGGTAGTTGCGTTGTAAAGATTTTGAATTTTAAGTTCGTAACATGTAGTTTTAGGTTGTAAGATTGTTTATGTGAATTTATGAAAATGTGCGTAGCGTAATCAATGTAAGAAAGATATAAAATAAATAAGTACAAGCTATGTAAGAATATGTAGAATAAATATATTTGAAGGTATTATATTCAAACATAGTTTTATTGAGAGAAGGTAGATGTTTAATTTCATTGTGGAATTAAAAGGAACGTAATGCATAGTGAAATGGTAAATTGAGAACGATAATAATATAATAAAAAACTCATAATCATATGCGTGAAACAATTTTATTTGATGCACAAAATAGGAATATTAATGCTATGTTAAATAACTTCATGGCTTCTCCTTTTTTATTTCAACCAATTTCTTGGTTTTTGTGTTTCTTGGAGCCGACATTTTCTTGACGTACTTCTTCTTCATTGTTTGTAGAGTTTCTTCATCGCTTGAAATTTCTACGTTAGTTGAGGTGTGGGTGATTCGGTGTTTATTTTTCTTTTGGTGCGACTGTTTTTGAAGATTTCCATCGACATCTGTACCGTTCTTTAATCTCTTCTTGCCCTTTTCCAAAGGAGGGTTAATCTTCTCGATTGCTTCAGCAACAACAGTTAACTTTTTACCGTCCACCTTGGTTTTGACATTTAATGGTATGAGAAATCTAAACGTGGATGAAGTTTGCAAGCTGAGTTCTCGAAAAAATTTGGAGTTATTGTCCCCCTGGATGATTAAGTTTAATTTGAATGTTAGTTTTAAATAAAATAAAAAAAATATATTAAATATGTTGAAATTAATTTTGTTACCTCCTCAATGGATTTGATGTATTCAAGAGCTGTGCAACCAATGAATGTAGTAGCGGCTTCCTCAAACATAGTTATGGTTGCATTGTGTGTTCCATGGACGACATTCAAAACAACCCTGAATCTACAATTAATAAAATAATGATTAATATATAATATATTAAAAAATTATTTAATAAAGTAAAATTTATTTTTTACGTACCTAGGATTAGTTTCGACATTTTCCTCTTTGCATTTGTTGCAAGTGGTTTTGTAAACAGAAGCAGAGCATTTTGTGCATGCATTGTACCACAAGGACAATTTATTTTCAATTCTATCAACAACTCCTTCGAAACAATAATACATATCCTTGAAAAATATAAAAAAGAAAATTTTAGAGAATATTATAATTATAATGAAATTTAAAAGAAAAACAGGACAATAATTTTACCTTGGATAACGTATTTTTGTTGTCTATTATGGTGCTGAGAGTCACTTGATTTGCCAACTTCATTCTTTCAACCATTGCTAATTGTCGGAGTTTAATCCGATTTTGAGCTTTATCCAAGCTATTTTTGTAATATAAAAATATAAATGTATATTAGAAATGTATGAATAGAAATATTTGAACATACGAAAAATAAATTGTATTTTATTAATAAAATAATATTCACATCATTCTTTCAATAGGGCTGTTTGATGAGATTGTGGATCTATCTGTATCACGGATGCTACAGTAGTTTGAACTTGAAGTTCACCTAAAACTAATAAGTAATGAACATGGAAAAGAAGTTATTATATTTTATTTACAATAATTATATATACAATAAGAATATGATTAATAATAATAAAAAAATATTTAAGTATTACCAAGGTATGTTTTAGGAGTGACTTGAGAAATTCCAATTATAAGACTATTTGGCATGTTTTCTTCCAATTGCTTCCCTTCATTGGATGCTAAATCTTCCCACAGAGTAACAAGCAAGGGACGCATACTTCATCACCGAAGATTAGTTTAATTAAAATAAGGTGTATTAAAATTAAAAATTTTAAATAGTAAAAAATTTGTTTAAGATAAATATTTTCTTACTCTTCATTGATAAGTGTGATTTCTCTAATAGTCTTCATTTCTCCCTTTCCAGTAACTATCATTTTGGAATCTTTGACTTGCAAAACAATTCCACAAACATCTATAGGAGGTGTTAATTTAATATAAAATAAAAAAAATATAAATAAATTATGAAATAGAATATAGATTAAGTTTGATGGGACTAAACCTGCTCCATTTTTGTGAAGATGAAGGTTAAGATCTTCAAAATCCACAAAGTTGAATTTCAATACATTTCCAATAGGATTGGCGGCATCAATAATTGAAGAATCTGTATGTAATACCAATTCTACATCCGGGTTTGGAGTAACAAAAGCTTGGTTTGGTTTTTTAACTTCGCAATTAGAAATAATATAAGTATTATTAATTGCAATTTTTTTATTAAAGAAATCAATTTCATCATTGAATATTATTACACCAATTTTTATTCCCTGCAAAATATGATAGTATTTATAAGTTAAGTTTTATAATTTGAAAAATAAAAAAAATGGTTAAATGGCATAAAAGTTGGTAGCACTACTTACCTCTTCATCAGTCATAATAATTTTGCGGATCCTCATTGAAAGATTTTTCCCGCAAGAGAGGTCAGGTACAATTCGTAAAACTTTTAGGCGTAGTTTGGAATCTTTATTATTTTCTTTCAAAAGTCTCAAAGGTATGGAAGTTTGGTTTTCCATAATTGTCCTGTTGTAGAGATAATAAATATAGTAATAAATTAAAAATGAAAAAAAAATAATTAGAGGAATTAGAAATGTATAAGTGTGTCAGTGGAGTATATTGTTAGTTATGAGGTATAGGATTAACAACCCCTTACAAAAATAAGTGTGACTCTAAAAAAATTACACTAACAAGCTTATTTACATATTTATTAGAGTAAAAGAAAACAATCATAAGTGGTCAAGTTTATGAAAAATTGGAAAAAAACTTAATAAAAGATTCGGCATACTTACTTGAATTTGCTGCACCAAGTAGTTGAAGATTGCAAAAGTAGTTTTGCTGTGAAAAATATCAAGTTTGTATCATCAAAATATAAATAAGAAATAAATAAATAAATAATAATAATAATAATAATAAAATAAAAATAATAATAATAATAAAGTACCTGTAATTGAGGATTGTGAGATTGGTAAGATGATGGT